CTGACCAGCAGCTCTCTTTCCCCGCAGTACAACCAGCCCTTTGAGGACGACCCTTTGGTGCAGATGTCCACGCTGACCTACGAGACGCCCCAGGGTACGGAACCTTCCTCCTCTTGGCAGTGTGCTAGAATGGTGGGGTCTAGAATTTGCAACGCGGCACTTGTTCCCCTCACTTTGCAACCGTGAGTTGCTGAGTTCCAAGTCATTTCTCTAAAAGCAATGCCCGGAGACACAGATGCAGCCTGAGTTTTTAAACGCCCGGCGCGGAAGCCCGAGCTAATTGCTTAAAGGCAGCACAGTGTCTCCGTAAAGTAAAAAGGACGTTGACAACCATGGGTACCGGAGTGCCTGCAAAGCCATTGGAACTGCTCGGCTCTCACGAGTTGTGCTGTGTAACTCGGACCCATCTGTTGTAGACAGTCCATCAGTCTGCCTCTCCGGAGCCATTTTATTAAATGTTGTGGACTGCCTTAAACCTTTGTTTTGTTTTGTTTTGTTTTTTCGAGACAGGGTTTCTCTGTGTAGCGTTGGAGCCTATCCTGGCACTCGCTCTGGAGACCAGGCTGGCCTCGAACTCACAGAGATGCGCCTGCCTCTGTCTCCCGAGTGCTGGGATTAAAGGCGTGTGCCGCCAACGCCTGGCACCTCTTGCTTGGATTCTTTAACTGGGGTGTGTTTGCATTTGATGAGGTTAGTTCCTTCCATAAGACTCATCATTTAGTAATAAAATCTGATTTCACATCACAGTCTGCCAAGAGTCTATAGAACCCACTCTTTGACAAGTGCAGTCTTTGCCCTTTGTCTTTTTGACTGTTCAAGGCACATGTTCAGTGAAAGTTTTACACAGAAACAGAAATAATACTGCAGCAGGTTGTTTTTTTGCTCTGGGTGGGATCTGGATACAGTAATACAGGGGTCTTTGAGGGTGCTGTCTGTCTGTAGGCTTCTCTGTGTTCTTGTGACTGTTCATGCAGGGGTGGGCAGCGTCTGGAATGTTTTGGACAGTCTATCTATCTTGAATAACACTCATTTTGTCCATGAAAACCTGATGTCAGTTATATGAGAACAACAGTGAAGTATCTGAAGAGTTTGAGACCATCCCGTGTTGGCATATAAAGGGCCCTCCCTGAGAACTGGCCAGCACATGGACTCCTAGGGCTGCAATTGTTAATAACTCTGCATCCTAGCAAGCTCGTAGCTTGTATTCATGCCATGAGTCCCAACGTCCCATTACTTAATCTGAGAGAGTCTTTGGCATGGCCTTTCCAAAGATGCTCCTGACCCTCCCTGTGCAATAGCATGAACCCCCATCAAAGACAGTGATTGTGGCAGCAGCAGCAGCAGGAATAGATTCATTTGCCTGTGTTGATGGTTCACCTGTGCCTGCACTTGTGAAGTTGTGAAGTCCAGTTTCAACCCTGCAGTAGAAGCCCCTTTTAAAAACCATTGCTGTCAAAGGTAGATTCCCACAGAGAGGGCCACTCAGCCAGGGCAGCAAAGCCTCAGTTTGACTCATGAACCCATATACTCAAGCATCGCTGTCTTCTGGAAAGACTGTGTTGTACAGTGATCAAGTGCAGTCAGCACCTCCCAGAAGTCACGTGCTGGCTCCTCTACATGAGTGGAGAGCCTGGGCTAGTCGTCTGAACTTCCTTTTCCTTTGCGTGTCTGTCCACAGCAAACATGCTAAGTCTCTGTTCCCCGTGGGCTTCTGGGTGGGTGTAGGAGTTACATGCAGATGGGTTGTGGGTACTAAATGGTGTCTCCTTGGTAAAAATCTGGAGCATAGAGAGTGCTGTGTAAATTTTTTTATGCTTCTGTTATAATACAGTCATCTCATACCTCAAAACCCACCATTCTTTCTTAGTAACTTTAGAAGGAGTATATTGCACAGGTTCTGCTAGCTAGTGAGTGACAGGGACGGTGCACTTGAACTCCAGAGTTCTCTGTATGCAGGCTTCTCTGTATTAGGCCAGTAGATTGCCCTAGGAAAGCCAAGGATGGGGTACAAAAAATGCCCTGTAAAAACCCTTGTTCTAAGCCAGGCAGTGGTGGTGCACGCCTTTAATCCCAGCACTGGGGAAGGCAGAGGCAGATTTATCTTTTTGAGTTCAAGGCCAGCCTTGTCTACAGAGTGAGTTTCAGAACAGCTAAGGCTAGACAGAAACCCTTGTCTCAGGGAGGGGGTGGGGAATGCTTGCTCTGTAAATGTATGGTATATGTGCCCCCTCTCCAGTCAATATGCATGTAGTATGTATTTAGAATATGAACTGTCCTTAGCGCTTCAGGTTAGTGCTGAAATCAGGTAAGCTGCTGCCTTCTGGGTAGGAGAGAATTGTCATTAATGATAGGTTTGTCCAACACTGCCAAAACCTGGATTGTTTTTAGTGTACAGCCTTTTGTGCCATCCAGCTTGGTTTTCTGTCAGTGCAACTGAGCATTTTGGATTCCTTCAATTGTCATCTTCATTTTTTTTTAAGGATTGAGAGTTTGGGGAGGAAAGTTGATAAAGGAAAAAAGCAAGGAACAAACTCAGGTAATTATCGTCAAGTTTACCTTTAATGCTTTACTGTAGTGTTGACTAAATCCCTGTGTGAGTGAGCCCTGAGGCCACTGCTGAGAGCTTCGAGAGACCCACCTCAGGTATTTCTTCTGTTGCCTGGCTCTTGTGTGCTAAATTTTCTCCATCGTAGTTCACAGGGCCCTCAGAACCGTCTCATGTGTGCCGATGCTGGACCAGATTGGGGACCTGCAGACTGTGTACTAGACCAGCTAGAGACTCCTTTGTTGGGGCCTTACAAAAAAAGACCAAATCTCATTTCTTTTGATAAAAACAATGGCCCTTTCATCCTCTGAAACCAGGAAGCAGAAGGATGAAGAGGCGAGAGTGCAGAATCACACACCCTTCTGCAGGGTTTCCCTGCACCAGGGCTCTACAGCTAGTGATTGAATACTGGTTTCCTGGATGGCATCAATAGTTTGCCTTCCTGCTGTGAGACTGTGTGGTTTTTTGCCCTGGTAATGACTATAAGACTGTCTGGTCTAAATGAATCTCGGGCAACCATGGTTCCTGGGGAAACCTTTTACCCACAATGGAACATCAAGATTAAGGTTACACAGCATTAATAGAAATTCTGAAACTGAGCTTCCTTGGTTGATTATTATAGCCATAGGAAGGCTAGAACACTTGGGTTAGCTGACTGCTGTGCATGTAATCACTGATACCATTTTAGTTCCTGTCTGTAAATGCACCTCATACACCTTTCTAGTTCATCAATAATGGGATCCTTGTCTTCACCAGCTGTTGTATAATCTGATTGCCTTTTTGTTTTTTGAGACACAGACTCACACTGTAGTTCAAACTAACATGGAACTTGCTGTGTAGCCCAGGCTGGCCTCAGACTGACATCAGTCCTCCTTTGGCCTCCTGGAATGCTAGGATTACAGCCATGTTCCATAGTTGTCTTTTTTTTTTCTTTTTCTTTTTTTTTTTTTTTTTTTTTTTTTTCTTTTAACTGCTGATCAGTTCCAAGGCATTTGGCCCTTGTACCTTCCTGTTCTGAATCAGGATCAGCATGCTCTGTCTGCAAAGATGTTGTAAGTGCTTCAGGATGTGCCAGCCATGTGTTTGTTATTGTTGTTCAGCTCTGTTATGAGAGAACCACCAGGGGGCGAAAGTGAACACATCTGTGGCTTGGCTTATTAAGCCTGCTACATGGTCCTCAAGGAGCAGCCTGCCCTACCCTCTGTGTCACCTTCACTCAGGGCCAGAGGACACATGACAGCCAGTGCTAGAATGGTAATTCTGGTAGCAAAAAAATTATTTATTTGAGGTGTTTGTTTAAAATGTAGGAGACCCTCTGCCTGAGGTCTGTAAAACTGCTGGAGCTTTTCTTAGGACTAGAAAAGTGGACATGCATAGCCTGTATTTACAACTGAGGACTTCTACAGTGTTGCTGGGGTTTATTATTGGTGATCTCCGCCCATGACCAAGTGTTTATGCTGATTCCAAGATTGCCCTCCTGAGGATGGTGGGAGACAGGAAGTTAAGATGGACTCCCCATTGCCCTGCACTGGTTTGTTTGGCATGGGCCCTCTTTGTAGGTGCCAGACAAACAGTAGTGGGTACTGAGGACCAGCTGCTTCCATGAATGTCAGAAGTTCTGCCCTTCAGACACTGGAAGCCATAAAATTTAAGCTGAAAACTTTGAGGTTTTAGCTTGCAGTGATGTCCCTGGAGGCAGGAGTCACTTAGTTTGGTGGTGATTGGCCACCTCAGGTTCCCTGGGCCCATCTGAAATCATGTAAGCAGCTTTCTGTTGAGTGCTGGCACTTACTAATAAGCACTTGTTGGCGCCTTCCTAGTGGAGCCTGGTGAACACAGGCCTTAGAGAGTGGAAGTGTCCTCCCCAGAGGAGTGACCCTTTGACTATACTCAGTGGCTCCACCCAGCAGGAACTGCAGCAGCCCCAGACACTACAATACTTGTAGATCCCAGGTCAGCCCTTTGGGTTCCTGACTTCTGCTGTAGCCTCTCCTTGACCAGTGGAATTTTCTACCATCTTCTGGAAGTCTTGAGGCCCTTCATTAAGCACATACAGGAAGATAATTGCAAAGCCGTTATTCCCCTGGTGTGTCCCACTAGGATTGTGAATGTGTTGATACACAGTGGCTAGAGATATGTTGTGACTTGATTAAGCTTGTATTTCTTGATTTTTATACCCCAAGGACTCTTCTATGAGGATGATTACCAGATTAAACAGGCAAGCTCCAGACAGCAGTGAGCATTTACAGCCCTGCATACAAGTCCCGGGAGATGGTAAGTGTTACCTTGTTAGAAAGGGAGGCTAGGGACGAGGCCAGCTTGTCTCCACTACAGCAGTTTACAGTGAGGTATCTCACTGTTAATGTTTTATGTATATTTCTTGTTCTCCTAGGTCTCTGGAAGATGGGGATCCATGTCGTGCCCACTAGTGTCAGCATTTAGCAGGTCTTAGGATTTGTCCCTAAGGATGATGGGAGCACCTGCTTCTATAGAAATGACCTCTTCCTTTCCCGCCTCTGCAGCCAGTATCTGTCTTTCCTTCCTCAGCTTCCTTCCCTTCCACAAGGCTTCCAGGCTGTGCTCTTCCTGTCTCCCCAGCTCCCTCCATTCAATCCCTTTGCAGCCAAATCACAGAAAAATACCCCCACTCCCTAGACATTCTGGCTGAAGCCTATCTTTAGAACTTTAGTCTGGAGCCCAGTGTGCTGACACACATCTTTAATCCAAGCACTTGCAAGGCAAAGGCAGGTGGAATCCTTGTAAGTTCGAGGCCAGCTAGATCTACACAGGGAGTTCCTGGCCAGCCAAGGCTACACAGTGAGTCCCTGTTGGGGAAGAGTGGAGCAAGCCTTTTTTTTTTTTTCTTTTTTTCTTTCTTTTTTTTCTTTCCCCAGGTGAGAGCAGGGAGAAGGTGGTCATGCTGCTTGCCAGGGTTCCTTGTTTACTGGGGATCCTAGCTCCACAAACCACTTAGATCCATCCCTCACCCCCACCCCCCAACTGCTTTAAGCCACTGAAAATGGTTTAAGTGGTGCCTTAGATGTTGGGGCCATGAGCATCCTGTTGGTGTTTTAGTGAATTATTTGTTAAAAAGATCTGTCCCTCGGCCTGATTAGCCACATTTATTGGTCCAGTGGCCCAGCCCCTGGCTGTGGGGCAGCAGATTGGAACTCCCATTATCCCGGGAGTTCAATTTGATGGGCAAGTCGTAGTGTATCAGATCTGAGGTCACTGAATTGGAGAATCTGCTGTTCCTGTTGTCCATTTGGATGTCTTTCTGGTCACAGGCACTAGACTACTGGCAATCATGGGCACAAGAGGAACATTTCCTTAAGATTTAATTTATTTAAATTATGTGAATGAGGCATCAGATTTTCCTGGAGCTGGGGTGGTTGTGAGATGCCCAACATGAGTGCTGTGAACTGAGCTCAGGTTCTCTGGAAGAACAGTAAGCATTCTTCTTTCTTCTTGGTTCTGGTTGGTTGGTTTTTTCTTTTGTTTTGTTTTTTGAGACAGAGATTCTTTGTGTAGCCTTGGCTGTCCTGGAACTGGCTCTATAGACCAGGCTGGCCTTGAACTCACAGAGATCCACCTGCCTCTGCCTCCCGAGTGCTGCTGGGATTAAAGGCGTGCACTACAGTCTTAACCCCTAAGCCATCTTCCCAACCCCAGGGGAAGGTTCTTAAGCCAACAGGGATCTTTACTGTAGCTGTCTCAAGTGATACATGAGATGGGAGATACATCCTGTGAGACCTTCAGGTGTTAAAACTTTCTCTACTTCTAGATTCAGAAAGCAGCGGAGCAGATACAAGCGCAGATGAAGAGGAGCGGCTGCCTGGCGCCTTGATGGTAAGAGAAGCTTCTAGTGACCCTATCAAGTACTGCTGCAGCTCCCAGAGAGCATGTGGCCTGTGGCAGCATCCCTCCTTTGTAGATGTCCCCCAAGACTCTGCTGCTACCCTCAGCTCTGGGCACCCTTTCACATCCTGAGACCAGGCTCCTCTTTCTCAGAGGCCAGTGCTCTGCTTGCTTCCACTGTTGGCTAAGCATAGACTAGTTCAGGAAGGTGCCCTTATGTATTGTTTCCTTTAGTGTCCCCAGGGTAGGAGTGACCTGCCTCCTTGTACCCTCTGATTCTCACTTCCCTGGTTGGTTGGTAGAGGTGACAGCCCTCACAGATGTCAGAAAGGGAGGTGTCAGGAGAGAATGGAAGAGCCAGGGCTCTCTTCTTAGTCAGCAGTCAGCGTGTTCTGATTGTCTCCAACTCCACCACTTTCTTTCTAGCAATGTCATTATAAACATCTTCAGGCTTGTGCACTTTGGATCCCTGATAAAGTCCCTGCAATCACACACTGGGCCTGGAAGTTCAAAGAGGCCATACCACTTTGTAACAGCAAATGTGGAAGAGTGACTTTGAGTAACTTCCTTTAGATAGTCAAGCACTCATGAACTTTCTGATTGTTCCAGAATTCACAAGGCTGGCATTCTGACTGAGTATTCTGACTTCTCTCTAATCAGCCTACAGTGCCTGGAAGCCCTTTGAAAAATGACTTAAGATGGAAGTACTTGACCCAGGTGGATATACTGCTTCAAGATGAGGAATATTTTAAGGTAATCTGTGTCTGTTGGTAAGACTCGACCAGATATTTTAGACAAATTGGGATGCAGGAGTTGGGATTTCAGGTGCTGTCCTCAGAGCCTGTAAAGGGATCTGAGTAATTATTTCCACATTTCTCACATGCTATCAGACTTTTTCTCTTCATCAAATACCTCAGGGGCCTAGGCAGCATCAGGGAAACTCAGGGAGTCATGCAGGGGGTGACTGGGATAGCTCTTCTCCAGTGGGGCCACAAACTCCAAGAGCAGCTGCAGTTCTTAGCTGCACAGGTGAGGAAATAGCAACCCCCACCCCCCACACCTTTCCTGGTGAGGCCTCCACTCCTGTCCCAGCCTGCTGCACCTGGTCTGAGGTGAATGAAAAGGAGGCAGCAGGCAGACTACAGGCCTCTCTCCTAGCACAGGTGCCCTGTACTTCACTGCAGTGCTTCCCCAGGCTTGTTCCTTACACAGCCCAAGACCACCTGCCATGGGCTGATGCCACCCATAGTGGGCTGGGCCCCCCTTTGTCCATTAGTAATCAGGGCCTGCCCACCTGATAAAGACTATTTCTCAGTTGGGATCCTCCTAAAGGTGATTGATTATAGGCTGTGTCAGGTTGATAGCTAACTATAACTAGGACAGCTGGTTTTGGAGGTTCCCCTATAGAAGTCACCTCTAGTTTCCCAGGTTCTGTCAGTGTCTTTCATAAAACAAAGGACATCCTAATACCCTAATGCCAGATGCCTAAGGAGTAATGTTAAATAACAAGTAATGCCTCCCCACTGTCGGCTGCAAGTTCCCATCGGGTTGATAGTCTTACTGTGCTGGTGGCCAGCTGAAGCCTGTTTGGGGATCCCTCAATCACTGTCCTAGGAATGCATTCTCCTAGCAGAGCAGGTGGCATCCTCCCGGCTCTTGCCTGATAGAGGACAGGGCTGGAATTCGGCCCAAGTTTATCTAACCTCTGCCCACTATCTACATGGCCTCTGGACATTCTGACGAATCCAAGTTGTCTTAGTTAGGGTTTCCATTGCTGTGAAGCGACACCATGACAGCGGCAACTCTTCTACAGGAAAGCATTTAATAAAGTAGTAACCTACAGTTTCAGTTTAGTCCATTGTCGTCTTGGCAGGAGCATGGGGATGTGCAGGTAGACATGGTGCTGAGGAAGGGGCTGTTCCATGTGGACATGCAGGCAACCGGAAGTAAAGTGTCTTATGGGCGTGGCTGGAGCTTACATGAACCCTCAAAGGCTGCCTCCACAGTGACATATGTCCTCCAGCAAAGCCACACTTCCTAGCAGTGTCACTTCTTTAGGGGCCATTTTCTTTTCAGAGCACCACACAAGTGTAACAGTAAATCATAGCCACGGATGGCTGAGCAGGGAGTAACTGCCAGAAAGGTGGCTGTGCCCTTGTGGACAGAATTCTCAGATTTTGGGCCACTGCTTCCCTCTGCGGCTTGAAGACTGACCATCAGCCACTGTGATGCTACAGTTACAGTGTGTGCTTGTTTTGACATCACCCAAGGGCTGTGTATTTTTAGGGAGAACCCAGCTCCATAAATCCAAGGTCTTAACACCCCAAACTATTACGATCATTGGCTCTGATTTCAGAACGCAGAAAAGAGAAATGGAAAAGACACACTCATGACTTTTGTTTCTTCCTCACGGGTCACACCACCCCCTGGTGAGTATGAGGGACTAATTTTACATGAACTGTGCCTTTCCTCTTTGGAGACTTGGGGCTCTTGGCACCACCTATGTTGAGTGTTGGATGTAGTATTCCATGTGGGTGCGCGTCTCAGCAGCATAAGCTCTTAGTGACGTGCATGTCCTAGAACAATAAAGACTACTTCAGGATGGTCTCGCTGAAGCCGAGGCTGTACTACAAATTTCCCCTCTGTGGTCATGATACCAGGTGCTGTATAGATCTTTGCCCTCGGTTTGAACATTTTGACTCCAGCATCACCTGAATAACCAGTGGCCATCCATGTTGGCAAATTTCCCCTCTGGTCATGACACCAGGTGCTGTATAGATCTTTGCCCTCGAACATTTTGACTCCAGCATCACCTGAATAACCAGTGGCCATCCATGTTGTGTGTCACAGGTAACATTCATCATTGTTCCTTCACTGACCCTCCCTGGCACACATGTATGAACACAAGCAGTATTTTTTTTTTTTTTTTAATTTGGCTCATGTTTGTAATTCCCCTAAATGCTTCACATGTACTTTCCAAGAACCAGGTGATTCTCCATGACATAGCAAGTTTAGAATGTGCCAGAAACTTCTCATTGGCATGATAAAATTTTACCAACTGAGCCACAATGTCCCTTGTAGCCATTTTTGTCCTTTTAGCAGTTGACCCTCTCAGATGGCACCCATTGCATTTAGCAACTCCTTGAGTTGCTATCACTGTTGTTTCTCTTAGGATCACCTGGCTTGAGTGCTCCAGTTGGGTTTTTCCTGTTTCTGTAGGTTTGATTTTACTTGTTAAAAATCCATGAAATAGTCATGTAACACAGAAGCCAAAGCTGCACCATGCACAGCAACATGTCTTCCCAGCCGTCCTATTGAGGTCAGGAGTTTGGGGTGACTTACAGGCTTTTGTTCTGCGAGTGTGTGTGTGTTCTGGTGCCACAGACCACAGAGGCCACAAGAGGACATCAGATTCCCCTGGAGTTGGAGTTACAAGCATTTGTCTGTTGCCCATTGTGGGTGCTGGGAACCGAACTCTGGTGCGCTGGAAGAGCTGCAAGTCATCTCTCAGTCCCCTCTGTTGGCTTCTTTTTTTGATTGAATGTGTTTATGTTTGTATTATTTTCCTTTCTAATTAGTTTTGAAAGGTTTTATCCATGTGTGTATTGTATTGGCTTTTGGGCCAACAGCTATCTCTAAACACTGTGAGGAAGAGCAGACTCTTGCAAAACTGGAATGAAAAGTCAGAATCTAATTGTGGTTGCTAAAATAAAATCTCCCAAGGAGAGTATGCTTACCATTTCCAGGGTTTTATTTTTTTGTGCTGTTTTAAACTATCATGGTTGTGATTACCTCTTGAGCTCCCCGATCTTCTGTGAATATGGACTAGTTGAACCTTGGTTTACCCTGACTTTGTATATTTTTCTCCCAGGATGCCAGGATGGTATCTCTGAAAAGAGCTTTGGTAGCCCTCAAGTGTCGGCTTCATCTTCCAGAGACTGGAGTACCTCAAACCCTTGCCAGGCTGACATGACCATTATGCCTAGAAATGACAGCTTCTCCTTTCTAGGGACCAGCAGCAGCAGCTTAAGCAGCCAGCCCCTTGAGGTTGATAACATTTGCGATGTGACAGTCAGTGATATGTATGAAGGCATGATGTATTCAATGAGTAGGCTGCTGAGCTTAAAGCCATCGTGTATAATCTCCACCAAGACCTACATCAACCAGAACTGGAACCCCAGGAGGAGGCTGTCACAAAAGAGCAGGGTGCACATGAATAGGACATACAGCCACAGAAGCAAGCCCTTTCAGAGGAGCTCCAAGAAGGGGCCCTCTTCAAAGCCAGGGAAAGAGGTATTAAGAGACTGCAAGAATTTATTACACACTGCTCCCAAGACAGACTTAAAACTGGAAAGGGGATCTCTTGAAGGGAGCAAACTCCAAGTCTATAAATTCAATCCAGCATGGAAGGAGCTTCAGGTGATGCCTCAGAAGTATTTAGACTTAAACACAGCAAACTATCATGAGCAAGAAAATAGAGTGAAGACATTACAATGGCTAATTTCACCTGTTAAAATAGTTCCCAGACCAGGGATGCTTCCAAGTCAAGCAGAAAAGTGGTATAAGGAAATTGAAATGAAATTTGACAAACTTCATCAGGAATGTAGCCTGTCTTCTGAGAAACAACTTCCCCTGGCTGGCCCCACAGAGTCCTGGGCTGTAGATGTGTACAGAGGTACTTCTAGAAGCCCAGGCAGCCCCCAGGGCATAAAAACACACAGGCTGAGTTCACCTTTCAACAGAGGAAAGAAGAGGTCAAGTGAGGCTTTTGAAGACATAAGTGAAATGTCTGTCAAAGCGGATAGCTGTCTCCCAAGTGGCCATCCCACTCTATTACCATTGGGGGGCAACACCTCGGCTGGTCTTTTTCTTCAAAGACATAATTTTGGACCAATCAGAAAGGCAGTATCACCCAGTACAGCTAATTCAGTACCATGGACAAGCCCCTGGGGCCATGGGAGGAATCGCTATGATGAGATTAAGGAAGAATTTGATAAGCTTTATCAGAAGTATTGCTTGATGTCACCTCCTCAACAGGTGAAAATGACCTCATGTGTTACAGTATCTTCGAAGAAAGCTGGGGCAGCTGTTCCTAGTCAGACGGAGGACTTAAGAAAATTAAATCCAGACTCTGGATTCCAGAGTTCCCCAAAATTGTCAGCATCTGGCTGGAACATAAGAAAACCACAGGACTCAATTCCAGTTGAAGCTCAAATGTCTGCACGGACTGCTGGTGCTGTCATGAGAGACCCTCGCTTCCCAACAAAGAGGCGCAAGTTGTCATACCCCCCAACGTGTGCACACTAGACCACGTCTCAGGACTCCTCAGGAGCAGCAGGCAAAGCAATGCCCTGACCAGAAAAGCAGGCCATCCCTGTGTGGCCTGACTGCTGATAAGGTCTTCCTGTCTGTTGGGCATGATGTCTACGTGTAAGGAGTAGCTGTTGAGGTGCAAGACGCTGTGGCAGACATTTGTGTTTCTCTTGCTGGAGATGGGACTCAGGGTATCACACTTGCTAAGCAGTCTACCGCTGCATCTCCCTCCCCATAGCCACTCCGCCCCTTCCCAGCCTTCTCCCCTGCCCTGCATCACTGTCATCTCTGTCTTTTAATGGGGAATGTTAGTGGTGCCCTGGGCTTCCCCAGCCACCCAGTCAAGCTCAACCATTATTGTGTCTCCTGACCATATTCGGGGGGATCCTCAATGGCATTCTTTCTCTTAATTGTGATTATTTGCCTTGTCTCTGCTCCCCTCACCCACATCTTCACCATCCTAACGTCTGCCTCTATGTAGTGGTGCCTTTGAGCACTCACCCATGCTTCACCAGGACATGGTTTAGACATTGGTAAGTCCATGGACGTGGAGCATAACTAAGAACACTTGACTTGACCTTTGGAGTTCTGGATTTTTTTTTTTTTTTCAATTTGGCTTTTGAGACAGGGTCTGACCTTGGACTGACCTTGGCCCCACTATATAATCCGGGTGGCCTTGAGTATCCTGATCCTCCTGTCTCCGCTTCCCAAATGCTGAGATTATTTTTGCTTTCTAATTTATTTTCATGAGTAAAATACTTTATGAACTAGATCTTCCTGGTTGAACTTTCAGGAAGGGACCTGCCTAGGATCAGACCACAAATGACACCACAAGGAGTAGGACCAGATATGCAAAGGAACCCTGATCCTAGGTGCCGTGCCAACTGGGTCTCTGGCTGCCTCCTATGGCAGATGCCCCTGCCAGGGTGCACTCACCAACAGTCTCCTTTGCTCTTGGTCTTGAGTTCTTTAACATGATGGAATTTCCCACCAGGAACATAAACCTTTATAAGTGCCGTCGAGTAGAAGTTAGGCATTCAGTGGCTGACCTTGAAGCACCATTGAGATTATACTAAGAATTGTTTTTTCATCAATCGTGATGGAAAAGTGATTTTTATTAGGTAAATCCAAAGTTTAAAAATCTTGCCTCTAGTTCTTAGATGGTGGCTCTGGCTCTGTCACTGTGTCACCCAGGCTGACCATAGATGGCACCTCAAGCATGCAGCACCACTACTGTTCTGCCTTTGCTTTGTGTGTCGCCCTGCTTGAAGTGTCCGCCCTTAATGTAGCTCTGGGGCAGCTGGTGCCATGGGAAGTACCTGATATTAATTTGCAAATAAAGTTATGCAGTTAGCATTTTCAGTGTCAATCAGTCCTGTGGGCCCATTTATCTCATTTTTTTTCTCATTTAGACATGCTTTCTAGAACATTCTTCACATTTTCTGTTTTGTTATAACATCACTTTCTTATGAAACCTATATTTGAGCCTCAGACACAGTGATCCTTGAACCCTAACCACACAGTGACTTTTGAAGTAAATAGGACTGTCGGGTCTTTAAAAGAGACAGCTCTCTGAAACCACCTTAAATTCACCTACAAGAAGTAATTCCAAGGTCTTGTCTTGATGCTTTTAAAAGAGATTTGAAATATTTCGGAGGTATTTCCAGTTGCTCTTGTAGCCATGCAATATCCATGAGGCCTACTGAGGTGGGTTCTGGTTGCCAATAGCTGGTTTTGTTTGTTTTGTTTGATTTTTCGAGACAGCATTTCTCTGTGTAGCTTTGTAGACCAGTCTGGCCTCGGAACTCATAGAGATCCTCCTGCTTCTGCCTCCCCAGTGTTGAGATTAAAGGCGTGCGCCACCACCGCCCAGCTGCTGGTAGCTGTTTTTAATGAACAATTTCCCATGTATTGTGACAAAACCCATGTGCCAACCCTTCAGTGACAGTTGTTGGTACCCTGCTACCGTGTGAATGTTTCAATGTAAAACCGAAAGCCCTGTTTTTTTCCTGTCCCTCCCTCAGCAGGTTTCTCTCAGGCCTCCAGCCAGGACCAAATTTGTAGTGCCTATGACTCTGCTCTGGCCACCCAGACAGTTTACCATGAGCTGGGCGGTTTACACAGCCAAGTTGCTAGTAGTGGACTGTTAAAAGGGTAGAAGGCTGAGATGAAGGCATATGCTTGGCCGGTTCTGCTCAGGCAGGCTGGCTTGGATTTGTCTGGGCTTCATCTGGACTTGAAGGACTTAAGTCAGTGAGAACTTAGATCCTGACACCCTGTAGGAGGCTCATGATTCCTTCAGAACATTTTAGCAGTTCTTACAGGCTTAGGCACTCCCAGGGCAGGCATAGCCTCTGCACCTCTAGACCCTTCTTTGGGCCTGCTGCTTCCTGAGAACTCTGGTCTAGTATCACCTAGTGGAAGAAGCTGGGCTGGGCTTGACAAAGGTAGAAGTCAGTGTAGAAGATTTGCTGACAGAATGGCTAACTGGTAACTTCTGGTTTTAACTCACATAAATAATAGTTTTGCTTCAAGGGGGTTCACATTTGACAGGAGCTTGCATATGCGGGTGCTGTGGTTTAAGTGTCTCCCACAGGTACATATATTGGAAGAGTGTCCCCAGGGTTGTAACACTGGTAGGCGTGTGTACCTGTTGTATGGCGGGTTTCTCTAACTGAGTGGAAATTTTTCCTCTTGGAAAGGATTAAGGACTTTGTCCTAGAACTTTGTTGAGTTCTCATGATGGTTATAAAAGCCCAAGCTTGACTTCACTTGACTCTAGCTTTCTGCTACAAGCTGCAGGATTAGGTAGCAATTATTTGACCATCATTTTATAAGGTCAACGCATCAGAATCAAGGAATCTGTTGGAGGATTAAACCCAGACGTAAGGCATGTTGAAGTTACTGCCCTTCGACCCTTCGAATGAATTGGCTGTTTTCTTCCTGTAGATTTCTTGCTGTAGCTTATTCCCATCTGTTACAAATTTCAGACTTGTTTCCCACAGTTCAGCATTATTTGATCATTTATTGGGCACAATTTCCCGTATGCTTTTGGAGTATATTGATAGCATCCCCTGCTTATGTGTGAAAACAGTCACACGATCAAAGTTTCCCATAACCAGGTCTTTGTGTCTTCCTCCAATGTAAACATAGAGCTATGCCTTCCTGCAGTTATCTTTATTGGCGAGCATTTGGTCAGCATTAAGTGTCCAGGCAAAAGTATTTCAAGGACATGGGATTACTGCTGCCTAAAACTGTTTATTCATAGCCACTTAGATAGCTAGAAAATAAGCATGCCCTGGTTTTACCTTGCTTGCAGAGAAGAGAAGGGGTAACCTAAACCTCACACTAAATGATTTTTAATTCCTTGTCTTTACCTTCACCTCGGTTTATTAACCCAAGATTTTAGCTTAGAGATTTATTGCTTAGAATAACTAGAAAGGTAATCAGCCATTTGCTCGTCCTCAGAGAAGTAAACTTTCCTACAGACCTGCACCTTGTGGCCAGGGCAGCTATAAGGTGCCAGGTTCCTTTTCTTGTGGGAATTAGCTTAAATCCTCTTTGTTCTACAACCTTGAGCAATAGGTGCTATCCTTAGGCCTAAAAAGCTTCTTTTAGCAGCTGACCGTAGCAAAAGTGTGGCTGCAGACCAAAAGCTGCACCTATTTATAACTGCTGCTTACACAAATTGCCTAGCTACTGACGACTCTTAACCCGCCCTTTGTAAAAATGGAGCTGGAGAGCCACTTGGAAGCAGCCCATGGAGAAAAAAAAAAAGTTTTTACCTTACTCATGAAATCTGCTGATTAATAGAATTTTAGCTTAATACTTAGCCACACGTACATAAGCACACGATTTCTCCCTTTTATACTCCCTTGTTGATTTATTCCCTAGGTGACCTCATCATGGAGCCTTTACTGACCACTCTTACCTGGTGCCATATATCATAGCTAACAGTTATTCTCCTGTGTGTGAATCTTATCTACCTTGGTGATCTCACATTGCATTGCCAAAAGAATTATTGTTGTAAATGTGTATATGCTGGTACCCTTGCTGTAGAAAAAGAACTATTGTAGAGCAATAAAGAGATGGATAGAAAGATGTGCTGTGAGCAGATTCTTGTCCTTAGCCCTCAGATTCTAATTCCTTCGCTTATTGTAGCATCTCCTTTGGATCCTGAGAGGGGTTTTTAAGGCTGGCCCTTAAAAACCTTCAATAGCTTTACATTTTTTTGCAAGTGGTGCCTGCTCCTTCCCCAATTATTCTCACATCCACTACCCAGCCTTCACCAAATCTGTTGTCTGTTCCTTGACCTTGAGTTTCCAACACTGAATTGAACCTTTTTATATAGGGCCCAGCCCCCAGTATTTTGTGTTAATGATATGAAACTGGTGGGTGCCATATGGACTCTCATATCTGGGTAGCTTGTTCCATTGTCCTGGATGTCTGGAGGGATGCACATGTACATAACCCTGTTTGTGGCACACACTTAGAGGCCACTTACAGAGAGTGGGTACAGTCTGCCTTCAACTTGGCAAATAGTCTTTGTAAATGACTCCACAATGTAAACAGCTACCACTCCGTGCCCTTTAGTGCTCTCTGCTGTGGTGACAAACACTGTTTGCCTTCATTCTTTGGGTTGGTTAGTTGGATGGTTGATTTGGCGGGGGGGGGGGGGGGGGGGGGGTTGTTTTAAGGTGCTAAGAATGGAACCCAAGCTTCATGCTTGCTTGATGAGCACTGACATAGACCCATGCCCCAGCCTGTTCTCTGACTTGAGTTTGAGCATGCTGCTCTAGGGACCCTGACTTCCTGCAGGCTCTCAAGGCACTGACTGTTCTATTCAGCTCTGTTGGTGTGGGTTTACTCTGGGTCCACATGAGCCCATCTAATGTTATTCAAATCATAAATAACATCCCCTCTGATTTGTTAGATTTCTGGTATTATGCCTTATTACATTTTGCCAAAGCTAGAGAGCTTAAACCTTTTACTCTTTTGAATTCTATTACTTTTTAAAAGAAAATCCATATCAGAAATGGGACATTTTTCTCAGTTCTGCAGGTCACCTTTTGGCCTATAAGTGTTCTACACAGGTGGGAGGGGAGCACAAGGCACATGTGTGTGGATATGTTCACGACATCTTGGACCATTGCACAAGTGGCTCTGGAGTTATTAATACCAACCTATTGCTGTTTTCAGTGGGAGCCAAAAAAGCTACAAAAACCACCTGTAGTGAGAGGCCTCAGCAAGTGAGTTGCTTTGGACCGGGTGAGTGTCTCTCTGGTCGGGAAGAGGAGCCCTCTGAAGTTCTGCCTTCAATACTTTGCCTGTCCTGGCCTCAGCCTAGACCACTCTGTTACCAGGCCAAGGCTGAGGAAGTCTGTCCCTGTTCTCACCTCTTCCCTTTGCAGGTTTCCCACCAAACTGGTTTCCAGGCCCCACTGGACTCCTGTTCCAGCAGCCCAAACATTCCTTGAAAACCTCAGGTCTCTGGGAAGGGTGAGGGTAAGCTTTGAATGTGTCTTCCCAGGGGAAGCTCCCCAGGGTATCGTGGTTAGCTATGGATGCCTCTGCCTTTCGCTTTAGGAAGGAGGTCCCTGGGGAAAAGCTGGACAGTTGCACACCCCTGCCCCCCCCACCCCGCTGCTTGGTACCATGCCTCGATGTGGGTGCACATTAGCACATATGGGAGAGCGCTGCATGGCCACACCCACAAAGGCTCAGCTGAGGATGAAGAGGTCTTCAGGGCTGGAGCTGCCCATTGCCCCTTCCTTGGTTGGCTCTGGGATGCGCAATCCATACAGCCATAAATCTGCATTCCAGAGAGCAATGGAGGTATATTTCATTAGGAGAAGAGGGATGGATACTCATTCTTTTACAAGGTTTTTTCTTTTTCCTACAAATGAAAAAACGATTTGCCTTGCCATGGGCAGATGTGACACTGAAGTTTGCATCTTACAGCGGGCCTCTTAGGGCAGTCCTCTAGGTGAAGCCAAGAGCCAGTGCTGATTGCAGCTGTCCAGGACTTTGAGCGTCTCCAAGGCTGCCCTCCTGACCCCAGCATCAGAATCTAGCTGTAGGTCCTGGAGCGCTGAATAGAAAAGAACAGGCCTTCTGGTCAGGACCACGTGAACTCTGCACATTGTTGTAGACTGAGGCAGGCTGACATCAGCAGGGACACCCCCTGGGAACCTCCTGGTGTGGAGTCAAAAGTGGGCCATGGGGTTAAGTGTTCCCACACTCTCCACAGACCTGTCAGGACTCCTGACACCACCAACAGGGACAGGTCTTGGCTGTGGGATTGGGGCAGAGGCAGCTGAAGTATCTGAGAATGGGCACGGCATGAACTCCGCCTATCAAATGGTCCTCCTGGAAATCTCCCCCTACGTGCAGTCTCTTAAGGTCCAGGTACTCCCTCTTCCCCAAGCAACTCACAGCCAAGGGTTGCCAGCCCTCCCCTAGCATGGTCTCGAAGTGTCAGTGAGCCATAGACTTGTACAACTGAGTCTACACTACTTAACAGTTCCGAAGCCCCACAAGGTCCATCTTCTTCAGAAAATGGGCAGACAGCTGCTTCATGATAATTCCTGAAATGACAGACACAGAGGCACTCCTTACACCAGGGAGAGATCAGCAGGCACACAGTTCTGCCTCCCTCATGCAAGAGGCACAGGCTGACCTATAAAGACATGTTTTGCCAGGCAGAAATGTATAGTGAGCACCCTTATCCAAGATCAAGCAAACATGAAAACCCAGGAGCTAGTAGACCAGTACCGTGAGGTAGTCCGAGGCTCTCATCCTTGCCCAGGCACTTGTCTCACCATCCAGGCCTGGGTTTGACTAAGTGGCTTCAAGGCTCACCCTGAGTCTGAGCATGTCCGTCTACTCACCTGCCAAGGCGCAGGCAGAGATTCTGATGCTTGACAAGTTACTCTTCATGAAGATCGTTGTTTCCACCAGGAAGCCACAGAGAACAATGGGCTTTTTCTGGGCCTGCAAAAACAAGTGCCACATGGCTGTGGAGGGTGAGATGAGGACAGGCTGCTCACAAAGAGCATTCCCATCTGAGGAATCAGTGCTTGCACATGGAAGGCTTGGCTAGAGGGGACAAGGACCCTTCCCAGCACCACACAGCAGGGTAGCCAGGCCCAGTAATGGCCCTTAGCTCTTGGTTTCATTATCTGACTCTGTAGCACCCATTGAATGTGTTTCTGAACCTGTCTGTCCAAAACACAAGCCACTGGCTACACATGGCCCTTGAGCATGGGAACATAGCTGATAGCAATATCAAGGACCTTCCAGGACTTGGAAGGTTGTACCAAAAAAAAATTTTTTTTTACCTTGATCACATACCAAAATGATCATAATCTGGTTACTTGGAGATAAATAAATTCTACTGTCAAAATTAACTTTTTTCTCTTTACTCTCTTTACTGCCACTTTACTGATTGTGGCAGTTAGAAAAAGTTAATGTGGGTAGCCTTGCATTGTCCCATTGGGTATTTCACAGTAAAAGGTGAACATGGGGTCATAAGCCCAACCTTGTCCCCCCTTGGCCTCCTCACCAGGACGGAGCACATGTTTGTCTGAAAAACTGTCATCTGGTCATTGATGCTGTCATTGCTGTGACCAAAGGAGCTCTCCAGGGACTTCCAGCCCCAGAAATGCACACACTGAAACATGGTAGCCAAACATGCCTGAAGGGACGCAGGGCACAAGACAGCAGCAGAGACGTCAACAAGCAAGGCGCTGAGTGGCGTCTCACCTGAGGAGTGAGAGGGCCGCCCCAGAGAGGTCTCCAGAGCAAAGAAGAGCCAGGCTGGAGGCTCAGGGAGCTCACTCATGCATCTGTAATAAGCCCTTGGGGGACAGGTGCCCCTCACATGCCCCTTCAGCCAACACCTTTGCCCTGATAGCCGCCCTGCAGGAGATGGAGCCAGGAGCACATTTGGATGGGCAGGCCTCTTACTCTACCTTCTCCCATCCCATTCCTCCCACTCCCAGAGATGTGACAGACCAAGCTGGACCCTCTCCTCAACTCCTAGCAGCCCTACCATGGGTATACCCACAGGGACCTGTGAGGGGAGGTTTAAGACAAATTTTAAATGGGACCAAGTCCAGGTACCTCAAAGTGGCCTGCAACGGACTGAATATTCTAGACGGAAAGGAACTAGACCCTAGCTGTTGGCAGTGACTAGAGCAAAAGGGAGCCATAGCACGCCTACTCACAGAGCCAGCTTTCATGAGCTCCCTTTAGGAGCCACCAGGATGATTGCTGTCCCAGCATGCATAAGGGATAGGGCAGATGGAGGGAGAGTAGAGAATCCAGAAGCTCACTGAGCCAGCAGAACTAAGGCACTTTTCCCCTTGGCACTGCAGCCCCAGAGCACAGGACACAGACGAGGGTGTGTGTTACCTGGGCTACACTGGGGCAGGGGTCCTGGCAGTGCAGCATGAGAGAGACCCAGCCTCTCTTCACCTCCCCTTTGAAGAAATGCTTCTTGGAAATCCCAACCACCTTCGCAAGCTTCCCGAAGAGGATGAAGGCCTTCAAACGTATCAGCTCGCTCTCCTGATACCAAAAGGTACAAGTGGACTGGCATGAGGAAACCAGGTAAAACCCCAGTGCAGACCCCCCCCCCCCCCCCCCCCCGGCGCG